TAAGTCATCAGCACATTTTAAAGAATCAAAATGTGTTCTGAAACTTTGAAGGCAGCTGATATAACATAATTGTGTTATCGGCATTCGAAGTCAGATCGAGCCAGGCAGCAAAGTCCAAGAGCAGTTCTTGCCCAAGAAAAATACCCTCTCGTACATGTAAGTTGTGGCCCATTTGCCAAGCATTGCTAGCGTCAAAGTTTGGAAAGCGAGAACTGATTTTAGACCTATAAAATTTGTCTTGTATCGACTGCCATGTTTTCCTGCGCATGAGGTGTAAAGACCCTTCCCAGCATGCATTGTGATCACATTCTGTGGATGTTTCTCGAGCTGGTAATTGGATTGTTTTTCCATTTTCATTTAAACAAAACAAGAAGATCTGTTAGATCTTATGACCACGCTTTTAAAATTTAACTGTTTGCTTACCACTACAGTCACAACGCAGTGCACATTCCAAAGCAGTCCTTGATGATTCTTTTGTTACTGTAGACATCACATCACTTGATCAACACAAAATCTATTATTGCACCGTCAGTCATAGCCGTTGTGAAATCTCTGATGACGTAATGGTCTTAATCTGGAACTTTCTTCGGGATATGTATAGGCATGAACGATATGAACGATATGAACATTATGATAACAACACCATTGACAATTGCTTTCTTTCTTAAAAGTCATGATTAAATTTCATTGGTGTTTTCCACGAGTAAACGGCTTGAAAAGTAGTCACATGAGTCACATAATTTAAGACTTCTGTTATCCACGGCTATCTTTAGTATGGTGGTTATTTCCCTACCAATGACATAATCCTTGCATGTTCTGACATGTTCTTTGCTTGGCTTGTGAATATTTAATTTTCCTTCTGATCACCAAACTCGCTGCGATGACACAGCCAAAGAATTTACTTCATTCGCCTAAAACCACAAGAAATACTCGAAAAATTGTAAATAATTTAATGACCGTCGCTTCTGCAGAAATAAACTTGCAAAGTAAATATGATTTTATTTGTCACGTAGCGAAAGTGAAAGCTGCAATGTCGGTGCATTCCATGGCTGACGTAATTCCTTTTTTTTTAGCGTATTTATTATTTCCCTTCGAATCCTACGCTTCGATCAAACCAAAAGAAAATTTATTTCACCCAAAGTAAAGAAAACAATATCTGTAACATTGTCCTTAATGTTTCAACAGCTTTTGGCAAGTAAACATCACAGGTTGCGTCATTCAAAATTTGGCCGAGTAGAAGTTTGGGTCTGGTCACCGACAAAACTAAAAAAACAAAATAAAAGAATAAACCATGGGTAAACCATGAACCGCGCTCGGCCCATGGCTGCGCGGTTAATAATGGCCAACAAATAGCGATTGATTGTAACATAGGCCTGTGATCCTGGTTGCGTTGATTTTATTTTATATCGGCATGATTTGTAGTGTTTTGAACTTCTGGGATCAGCAGACATGCAGATGTATAGAGACACGTACGTTGCACAGAAGGGTTAATTTGTTAATCTGTCAGCCCTATTTATAGAGCCTTTTCATGTGAAGTCATCAAATTCTTAAATCCAAAACTGAAGAGCCACTGAAGTTGTTGTCCTCATCAGGCATAAGAGGTAGCAGCGCATTTTGAATTTCAAAGTTATGGCGGTGTGTGACATAAAGCTACAAAGGATCAGCTCGGTTTATCATAACAAAGGCCCGGCTTCGCTTATTTGAAGGACTCGGCGGGAAAAGAGCATTAGGTATTTTAATCAAAAGTGAACTTTGTTGAAAACACTCCAAATTTCGCGTGCAGTTTTGTTCAGGTATGTTAAGCAATGTCCCGTAATTTTTGCGCTAAAGTTTGCTTCGTTTTCGAGATTTTGCATATGCAATAAACCACTCAGTTTTTCCAACCTGTGTGCCTTTTTTGCATACATGTGCGTTATTTCTCAAGAATGAAGAGCACCCCAGCAAAAAAAACTTCAGAGCAATGTTTCTCAGGTGAAATGAAGCCCACATGCCAAAATTCAGCTATTTTTGAGCACTTTCAAAAATGGCCGAAAAATCCAGGGGACGTTCTTGCCCGCAGCCTTTCATTTGTCCTTGGACATTAGCTGTTCCTCGAAGCTTGCAGTTTTCCCCAAGCTTCACTCTCAGAAAACTGTTCTCTGAACAGATTATGTCCATAGACATAAATATCCAAGAATGCTTTTGTACCAAATGTTTATATACATGTTACTATCAAATGCCACTGAGATATAATGCAAGTGGACACTTTTCTCGTTGCTTGTATTTTTCCTTGCCCCTTCAGGGCTAAGAAAATACTATGCAACTATCAAAATAGCTGCATGTATTATACAATTATTGGATGAGGATTTTGTGATATCCAGAATAATCAAGGTCGAGGTAGGGGTTATCAGCTGAAGCCAAAGGCTGAGGCTGGTAACCCTTACTGAGACCTTGATTATTCTGGCCCCAGTTGTTCGAAAGCCGATTAGCGCTAACCCACGATTAAATATATTGTCCTAATCCACGCAAGAAATTTATCTTTCGATTAAATTCTGTTCCTCAAAGCGCGATTAGCACTATCCAAGGATTTAACTAAGGGTTAAAATTTAACACACCTAGTGAGGTGGATTAACTCACTAATCAGATGAAAAAGTAGTCAAGCAGTTTTTCACAACACAGACGGACCACGGTTCAGCGATCCGCATGTTTTACACAACGAGGGCGAAGCAAGAAATCACTAGAAATTTCAACATTTCCACTTACTAACTGCTGTAATGTAAAAGGAAAGATCAGTGGTGGAATTAAAGGCTTTTTGGCTTGATAAATGCGAGTATTATAGACAAAATATTGTTAAAGTTTTGTTTACTGTCGACCTTGCTTGTTCTTCAAAAACGTTGTTTATCTCATTCGGCAGAATTAAGATAATCAACCTCTGCTTTTGCTTCTTTTCTTAGTTTATGGCTTTCTTCTTTTCTAGAACTTTCCCCTAGCCAAGCTTACTTTATCAGCCCATCCGAATAGAGGCTATTCTAAATTTTTAAATTACAAAGAAGTAAGGCTAAAAGTTAGACTGGTAAGCGTTTTCAAGAGCTCAATGATTTTCTATGTGATGCATGATTCACTGAGCTTTGCCCATAGTTTATCTTGCACAGATTTTTTTATCACAACTATAATTTTGATTTATTAAGCATTTTTATTGGTTCTTATAGAAAGCAAATGTAGTTGAGATATAAAAATTGGGCTTTCTTTTTCCTCTTAATCAACAACATTGTAGGAGCCGTCAATTATCCCTTCCCTCCCCTGGTGCTACACCATTTTCTCCCACCACAGACCGGTTTTACCGGCTTAATCTGAATTCAATTGAAGGATAGTTAATTGAAGATTAAACCTGTCTTCAAGAACACCATTTTATCCCCCAATTAGTTATACCAGGAAAAGAAATTCAATTGTGGAATAACCGCTAACCTCATGTTTAACAACTGGGGCCTGGATATCACAAAAACTAAATCTAATAATTGTTTTATTATACACTGAACGCAAAAAAAAATGGAAGTCATGTTTTTGCTTTTTCACTGACGACAAGCAACACAAAGCATGCGAACTTGACATGATTACCCTCAGAAATCATGCAGCACGGTCATACATGACATGATTACCCGTGACTTTGAGTGTCCTTGACATGACTATTGTATAATTTGCAGCTAGATGATGTCACAGGTGCTGATTTCGAATATTCACCGTACGATTTCGGCCAATCAGAAAAGAAATAGTCAGTTCAATGTATAATAATATATGTTAAACCATCAAATAAGGTGTTTCTATTACCTGCAGTGCCAAAAGATAATGGTGACATCATCATTTGTCTCAGTTCATCAAACTTCATCTTGTTTATTAATTTCAGTACTTCTGCAATGCTGGTCGGGTGCTGACAAAGAAAGTTTGTACATATCACTTTCATTAGTGGATTTAAAAGCTGATTTCCATAGTAATCAGAGAAAGCCACAAGCTAAATTTACTTGCTCCATGTTGTCAGCCTGTGGAGGCATGGTGGCCTCATGGTTGGTGTGTTTGATCCCAGATCAAGTGATCTGGGTTTAAGCCCTGGCTAAGGACACTGGGTTGTGTTCTTGGGCAAGGCACTTTATTCTCACTGTCACAGTGTCTCTCTCCACCCAGGTGTAGAAATGGGTACTGGCAAATTCAATGTTGGGGGTAACCCTGCAATGGACTAGCATCCCATCCAGGGGGGGAGTAGAAATGTTCTGGCTAGTCGTCTCATGCTACAGAAACCGGGATAAGCTCCAACCTGATGGGTCACTTTGCTCATATACAGACTTTACCTTACCATGTTGTCAGCCCAATAAGTTCATTAACTTGAACAAAACTACAGTCAGCTCTCTCATAGCACCCACTTCTTGTAAGCGACCACCTGCTATAATTGACCACTTTGTAAATAACCGTTTTGTTTCTAAGTCAAACACTGTTCCAAGAGCTCTCTCGTAAGCAACCACCACTCAAATTTCTTAAGCAATAGCGACCAATTTTTAGGCCAGAAGTTTGACATTCTTTTGTTTTCTGTTTCCAGTAAGCGACCACCCAACATGATCACCTATGATCGTTGGAAAATCTTTACTCAGAAGTGACAAAAGTTCAGTTTTTAATGACGCTAACCGGACTAATAACAGATAATAACAATCAATGTACAAAGGCATTGCAACAATGCCATTGGAAAAAGCCATTTTAGCTTGAAAAGAGGTGTCCAACTGGTCAGCGGGAAACCAAGATGTTGGAAACAAGAAGGAAAGGAAAAGTACTAAGAGAATGTCCAGTTGATTGCAAAGAAGCTCCTTTTTTGTAGCTATTCTCCCATAAATGGGGTCAGACACCTTCACTAAGATTTCACTTCATTAACAAATTAATGATTAAAATGTATGACAATCCTCTCTAAAACAAAACACTGACAACACTGCATGGGTCATGCTGGACTCCAGATTGAGCAGTCTGGTTTCAAGCTCTTTGCCCTGTGTTCTTGGACAGGCCACTGAACTCTCACAGCACCTCTCTCCATCTAAGTGTATAAATGGGTACCAGCAAATTTCATGCTGGGGGTAACCAGTGATGGACTAGGGATCCAGGTGGGAGTAGGAATACTCCTTCTAGTCACCTCATGCTGTCAAAACCAGAGAGATCAGAGAAGGCAATGTGTGATGGTCCACTTGGCTCAAACAGAGACTCTCCCTTACATAACAATACTAGCAAATTATTTTTTCCCGGACCTTTTCGCATGATTGCATTTGCATCGATGACAGAAACCGGAAGGATGTTGAATTCTCATAGTAAACGTGCTGCTTTGTGTTATGGTGCTCGATTCCAAGCTAAGCTGATATATTTTCCAGAATCGAAGCCAAACTACTCTCGACGTGTAAAAGGAGCTTATGCATTGGCTGCATTGGCTGGCTACACAAAATTACGTTCATAATACACTCAAACTTTCAGCGTGTCCGATGCTGGGGTTCACGGATACCAGGCAAATAAACTAGAGCTTTGCGAAAATGAAATTGTATAGCAAATAAGAAGCTTAGCACATAGACCTTTTCCGTCATATTACAAGGTAAAAATATTGTCTCTAGACAAGTTTTGGCAGATTTTAATTCTCTAGCGAACTGAAGTGGTCGGATACCCGGTCACATGTGTAAGAGGAATATTTTCTGTAATAACACAAAGGGGATGCATATTTTGTGTTAGGAAAAGAACATGTTACCTTGTCTAAACGCAGCCATTCTGCAATCTTTTCATCGAGTTCACTGTCACCCGAATTAATAGTCTGCAAATTGCTGCTACTACCGACTACTCCGTCTCCACCGGTGTGGTCCGCCATTTTGAGAAACGAGCCTGCTTAATTTGTTGTCAGCATTATTTTTAGTGCCGCGATTAACCCGTGGTGTAAATAACATTGCGTGTCCCACAGCCTTAGAAGAATTCATTTATGACAAAGCAGATATGACGCAGATAATATATAGATTTAGGCCAGCCTAAAAGCGTAGCTCCTGGGCCGGGTTGTTCAAAGCCCGATTAAGCTAACCCAGAAAAAGGTAGAATTTTGATT